CATTATTCCCCTTTATTCAGCTCTGGTGAGGCCACATCTGGAGTATTATGTCCAGTTCTGGGCCCCCCACTACAAAAAGGATGTGGACGCATTGGCGAGGGTCCAGCGGAGGGCAACCAAAATGATTAGGGGGCTGGAGCATATGACTTATGAGGAGAGGCTGAGGGAGTTGGGTCTGTTTAGTCTGCAGAAGTGAAGAGTGAGGGGAGATTTGATAGCAGCCTTCAACTTCCTGAAGGGAGATTCCAAAGAGGATGGCGAGAGGCTGTTCGCAGGAGTGACAGAGGGTAGAATAAGGAGCAATGGTCTCAATTGTGGTGAGAGAGGTCCAGGTTGGATATTAGGAGGCTATTTCACTAGGAGGGTAGTGAAACAGTGGAATGGGTTACCTAGGGAAGTAGTGGAGTCTCCATCCCTAGAGGTGTTTAAATCTCGGCTTGACAAAGCCCTGGCTGGGTTGATTTAGTTGGGATTGGTCCTGCCTAGAGCAGGGAGCTGGACTTGATGACCTTCTGAGGTCTCTTCCAGCTCTATGGTTCTATGATTCTAAGAGGGAACAAATGCATTGGCTTTTTTTTTTTATTTGTTTCACTCAGTATCTGACTCAGGGATTCTAAATGCACTGGGACAGATCTGCTTAGTCAGCCCCAGCTATACTTCATAGACTCATAGAACACTAGAACTGGAAGGTACCTCGAGAGGTCATCGAGTCCAGTCCCCTTCCCTCACGGCAGGACCAAGCCCTATCTATCATCCTTGATAGATGTCTATCCAACCTGCTCTTAAATATCTCCAGAGATGGAGATTCCACAGCCTCCCTAGGCAGAAGAACCTCCTTTTTGGCACCTCACTAGTGGAATCTAAGGAAGAGTGGTGAGTTTGATGAGGAAGAGAGAGTTGCACTTGCTGCTCCACAACCTACTACCTGCCAAGTTCTAAAAGGCCCAGGGACCCTGCAAGGGCAGCAGCATACACTATTCACTCTCCTTGGGACCAGAGAAACATCTAACACAGGAGTGGTATTCTCCCCATCACTGATCAGCCTTGGGGGACAGGAGGAAGAAAGAAACTGAAGAAACAAAGAATCTATTAGCAGTGGGGTAGGAGCTGGCAGGAGGAAAAGGAGTAATTGAGGCGGGCAGATGCTCAACTGGCTGCTGTGATTGTGGAGCAATGGATGAATTGACTGGAGTTGCATACAGGGGTGAGAGATGTTTGATTGACCTCATGAACTGAGAGGCCTGATGTACAGCACAGATGAGCTGGGGAGATTGAGGGAAGGGGAAGGATGGGTTTGGGAAAAGATTGGATTAGCAGCTCTGAGGAGGAGGAATGATGGGTAAGGAATCAATTGACTAGAAAGCCTTGGAAGGATTGAACGGCAGTCAATTTTTTGTATTAAATGTTTAATTTACAGTATCTAGAAGTCACTCAACACTTGAATTGAGGCATATGTTGCCTCAAACCCAAATAGCAGACTATAAATCTAATTATTACCGATTTGCATTTGGCGTTCTAGAAATAGAATTTTAAAAATAAAGTCTATAATGTAAAAAATGTCTAATCTGCTCTGTTGCAGAAGAGCAAGGGATGGGAGCAGGGGGAGGAAAAGACATTTTAGATGACATAAGCCTCTTGGCAAATCTAGAAAATTCCCACTGGAAAATCCAGCAAAAGATTAGACAGAAAGTTGCCTCCTGTCCCCAGGAGAGGCGCTGTACAGCCAGGGAGCCAGTAGAAAACTGTGGCTTTGCTGTGAACTTTTCTGTGAAGAGGGAGACCCTAATTGTCAGCAGTTAATTGATGAGAAATTTTGTTGTGGATTTTGGGACACCTGTGCCATTAGATGGACAAATCTGCTACACTTTCTCTTGATGTTAATTGCTTGCTCCCTTTTCCCTTTGCAATGAGGGAGTCAGGACCTCCACAGGAAGAAAATATATAAGCCTGTTTTGGTATAAAATATTAGTCTATTCCATTTTAGACATTCATCAATTAGGAAAAATTCCACTTATTTGAGGCCACATTTTGTGTGAGTCTGTTTATGAAAATAGTTGCCATTGATTAAAAAATGGGAAAGCCTTAGTTTGGAAAGAAAAATGTAGGTTTAAATTAAGACAATATTGTTGAGTGGTGATGTTGAGGGAAATTGGGAAATAAAGTTTACTTTTGTGCCATATGGTTTTTTAGTATAAACACATTTTATGGGCTTACTATTTTTTCTTGATTTCTCACATGTTTTAATCTTTGTGTCTTGCATATACAGCATTAAGCATGTTACAGATGCCATTATTAGGGTGAAAAACATACAACTCACATTAAAAATACTTCTGTATCCCAGCTTGTATTAATGTCCTCTGTTACTACTCTCACAGGCAACCCTGAATTGCAAAAGTATCTGTTTGTAAGAGATGCCCAGTGCTGTTTTTTTGGCTCATGAGAATTTCTGAGTGTTAGAAATGTTTTTATTCTACCTGCTAATGTGATTTATGCACCAGATGTCTCCTCTTCAGGATCTGAGCAGCTGTGTCCATGGGCATGGGGAAGTGTTCTGCCTCATCCAGACTGTGAAGAAGTAGGCATCTTTTAACTGTATTAATTCCTACTGAATCACTTTACCAGATGCATGTCGTGTTTATTTCTTACAGGCTGTCAGCCAGAGGTAATTCTTCTCTACCTTTACAGTGTGCATGTGCGTAAAGAAAGGGCATTTTTGTCTATGAGAGAGTGATGAATTCCTATTTTGGTTTGTTGGCAGGCAGTACATGTCACACTACTACACTTCCTGCACTTGTGCGCACTCCAACTCTGATGATGCAGCCTTCACTGGATATCAAGCCCTTCATGTCCTTTCCTGTGGACAGTAGTTCTGCTGTTGGACTCTTCCCAAATTTTAACACTGTAAGTAAATTTGTGTTGATATTTAGCCCCATCCCGGGTTTCTGCTTTCTCTGTACACTCTAATACTTAGCACACAAAGCCTGTCTTACAACACTATTTATTGGTTACCTCAAACATTTGACAGCTCTTTTCAACTGTTGTTGTAGCTAATTTCTGACACATGGATGGTATCCCAGTATTCATCTGTGTATGCATTTGTCTTCCCTTTTAACCCATCTTGTTGCATGGCTACTGTCAAGGTTCCAACAAATACAAATTATGTACCTTTGGAGAGATGGTTGGCATGCAGAAAGAACACAACAATATACCGTTGTCAAGCAATAGTGTAAGTGTATGTGCACATGCATATACCTGTATTATAAAATTGAAAGAGTAAGACTAAAGATGATTTGAAAAAAATAATTTTTCATGTTAAAGATTATGGACCAGGACATCAGCTGATAATAAATCAGTCTAAATCCATTTTAACCAATGGAGTTTCTCAGACTTCACTAACTGAATATCTGGCCTGTCACTGAAGGAAGAGAAGTGAAACTGAAATTGATATTTAACCAGCCAAGGAGAAAAACAATTTCTCATTAACGTGTTATGTTTACTGTGGTTCATTTTTCGTTTGCTGTGTTTTTCTTTTGAAGAATTACATCTCCATTTTCACAATGCATTTGCAATAAAATCACTGCAAAATGCAGCTAAAACACTGACAAAGCTGCTACCCTAGTTTTTCAGAATAACAAAATCATTTTTACAGTCCGATCTTTATTTTAATTTCTATTACTACTTTAATTACTCCATTAATAGTCTAAATATTATTAAATCCCTATTGTTAATATGCTTTACAGTTTATTATTCTCATATTCTTAGTACATACAAATTAAAACTACCTTTTTTTTTATGTTTGCTGAGCCTGGTGTGTGGGTTGTTTTTGGTTTTTTTAAACAATTCATCCGGGAATCAGTCTGTAAATAACAAGTTAATAGCAGCAGAAAGGAGACTGGTTCAGGTCATTGTGTGAATAATTTTTGGCCAGTTAGTAAACATAGTTTGTTCACAAGGATTACATGAATGGTACAGCATCATAGTTGTCACTGTAGTCAGAAAAAACCTGCATTATCAGCAACACCAGGCAGTGGATATTTGAACCACTGCCAAATGTTTCCTTTTGCAAAGTTATCTCCTGTATGAAGTGAAAGCAGCAATAGGATTTTTCCTTATGACTTGAAAATATATTCTGCAGAGAGGCCGTGTGCTGTTGTGCTTAGTGTTGCAGGTGATCATGGGGTAGCATACCAGCAACTTCTTTCTCAAGGCCAGTGGTCCATATTCATATTTATATTTAAGATGTACCTGTCATTGCTTGGGTCCTTCAGGACAAAGGGCTGGGGATGTGTGGGTGCAGAAGTAGGGCCAGGGACTGTGGGATATGAAGGATCAGGACAGGGGGCTGCAGGTTTGGGGGTGCAGGAGTTACAGAAGGCAGTGGGGGCTTAGAGCAGGGGATGGGACTGGCTGCAAGCTACTCTCCTGGGCCCGCTGGTGGCGTTGCTCTCTGGGGCTGGCCTGGAGTGATGGAGGCTGTGTTGCTTGGCAGCAGCTGCTGCACTGCTCTCTGGGGCAGTGGGAGCATGCTTGCTTGTTGCCCCCTGTGGTCATTCTGGAGTATAACTGTCCTTGCTATAACAGCCTTTCCTTTCTGTTTGATTAGAAACAGTCGCATTCCACGCACATGCCATTTTCCTGGCAAAGCCAAACCCTGAGCTTGCTTTAAGTTCTAAAAGGAAGTTGCATACTAAATTTGGTGATCTTAGTCTTAACTGTTTAGGAGAGGTTTTTGAACAAATAGACAGATGGGCAGACAGACGGACAAACTCTCTCAAATATCTATTCTATTCTAATCTATTCTATTCTGTTGAAGATTTACCTGGCATTGCTCAGGTCCTTAATTCAATTAATTTTTGCTTTTTGGAAAAGAAAGTGAAAATGTACATGCTTTGTTTAAATCATTGCACTGGGGTGGGGTTGGGGCTAGGGGATTCAGTATGTAGACCTCCCTGGGGAAAGAGGACTACCCCAGCCCTCTATCACTACAGCAGCTTAGAGGCAAGTGAGAAGAGCCTCTCCATGGCCACTGCAACTCTAACAGGCACAGTGGGGATGGGGTCCATGTCCCCCAGTTGGAGCAGGTCCAGGTTTGTCTGCCCCCTGTGCTCCCCAGCCAGAGTGAGGAATGCAGCAAACTGTGCACTCTCCCCTTGCTTCCTCATGAAGGGAATGTCCAGCAGTGTTCCTGTATGAATAGGGGGCAGGTGAGCTTCATTCTCCCCACCCCATTCTCCCTAACGGGCGCATGAGGGATGGGAGGCTCAGGGATGGGGCAGTCCCAGATGAGGGGGCACCCCCCCAGCCTCTTTCACCTGCCTAGTGATTCTCTTTTCTGTATGATTTTATTAGAATCAGTCTCATTCCAGGCACATTCCATTTTTGTCTAGCACAACCAAACCCTTGCATGCTTTAAGTTATTATAAATGTGTACCGAATTTGGTCTGTCCATGTAGGAGAGTTCTTGAACAGACACACAAACTCTCTCACATACAAAATAGATTATAAACCGTTTAAACTATGATAGTATTAATTACAAAATATACATTTAAAATATATGTAGGAGTTTGTATGCGTGCAGATGAAAACAAAATCCAGGTGTGCTTAAGATATGAGTGAGTGAGGCCATACCATTCTTCAACATACAGTGATTGCGTTCTGTTCTATTCTAAGGCACTTAAGCATCTTGTTTGTTTATATTTGTTTAAAGCTGCTGTGCATCAGCCTGACTCTTCCACTGGAATTTTTCTCTCAGGATTCTGCAAATGTTGAGCCTATCAGTGTGCATTATTTATTACTATTATTATTGACCATCTATATTTCAGTAGTATCTGGAGGCCAGTAAGCCTGGAAATGTAGACTATTTTTGCCTACGTTAATTCCTTTACTCTTACTCAAGTAACCTTCCATCTGCCTCTTCCCCCTTCTAGACTGTTTAAACCTACCTAGAGCCACTCACAACTTTTTGTGGTATTTACTAATCTAAAGAGCAGCAAACTCCAACAACTACTGTCTATTTCCTCTCTTGAAATAACCTATAGCTATATTAAAATGCACAGGTACATGCCACAGACACACCACATTTTAATCTCCATTCTTTGAGAAGCAGTAGTTTACTTTTACTTCCTTTTAAATTTACAAGAATTTCCGCACCTCCCCCATTACCTATTTTCCTTCATAGCCTTTTATGATGGGCTTTGTCATCTACCGATGAGCAGCGATCACTGACTTTCATGTATTCATTCCTATTAATTAAACATATGAACTGCATGAAATGTATATGTATGTATAATATTGATTGCCGTATGTCATAATGTGAGGGATGGGTTTAGGAACAAATCCTGTTGTTTTCTCTTTCATTGTAATCCTGAGGAAGTGGCTTGTAGTGGTTTGAGAGGTGGTGGTATATGAAATCTGACCGCTCACAAATGTTACAAAATGTCAGTATACAAAACTGAACCCAAGTGAATACATATTGTATCTAAGATCTACCTATATCTAGGCCTAAGGAAGTCATACAATTAAAAGGGCATTTTATCCTCTTCCCAAGTGCCAATAGCACATAATGATTTAACAGTATGCATTAGGTATTGCAGGACTCTGTGAGTTTCCAAGCCTGGGAACCTACAGATTTCACCTGTGAGAGGAATGAAAAGAAATTTTGCCCCTGATTTCACAATGAATTAGCATGAACCATTGTGAAAGCCCATTAACTTTGATGGATTAGATCTAAAGGCTGAATTCAGGGCCTTCATGAGGGCTGGAAATGAAATCCTGATTTAAAATGAAACATCCTGGGATATACTGGACTCTGTTTATATATTGAACTGCCAGTTTACTAAATGTTTTCTAAAACTTGAGATAAGTGGAGAGGAGACAATTTCTGCCTCATTAATTGTAATGATTGAAAAAGAAAAAAACTTCTATTTAACATTTGATGATGCAGCAAGTATCAGGGCAAGAAAAAGAACAGAATAATGATAAATGGTAGTAACTGGAAAATCTCTGAGTCCTGTCTACACAGCAGGGCTAAAGCCAAAATAAGGTGCACAACTTGAGCTATGTTAATTGCGTAGCTGAAATCTAAATAGCTTATTTCAGCTTTTTGTGCTGTCTACACAGTAGGAAGTATGAGGAAGAGCACTTTTCCTCCGACTTCCCTTACTCCTCATAAAATAAGGGTTACAGGAGTCAGAGTAAGAAGTCTTCCAGCTCGACATTATTTAGACATATCAAAATGCTTGTAGTGCAGACGTGGACTGACATTATTCCGAACTAACACTGCTGTGTAGATGTACCCTGAGAAGGCATGTTATTGCCTCAAGAGCATGTTATCTGCAGAAGAATTCTCTCCTTTATTTATGGAAGTATATCTAAAACCGAGTTAGACCTTTTTGTTAATAATCTTCACAGTTCTCACTTCATGTACTAAAATACACTGATTTCTGATTAGTTGTTTCTGTACCTGCATGGGTTATTTTTAATTGTAATATACATTTTCTGTGCTGCTTATTTAAAAAGATGCCTTATTTTCCTGACTGAATTGTTTGTTTGGTTCAATAAGAAGCTTTAAAATATATGCTGACTCTGGATTTTAAGTACTTGTGTATTTTATCTACCGGGGAATAAATTCAGGTCACTATTGGCCTTATACAGGCAGTCCCCGGGTTACGTACAAGATAGGGACTGTAGGTTTGTTCTTAAGTTGAATTTGTATGCAAGTCGGAACAGGTACATATTGTAGGGGAAACTCTAGCCAAACATTTCTCCAGAGCTCAGTTTTATTCTCCCACACCTTACTTCCCTCAGTCCTTTATTCTCAAGCTGAGGTGTCTGTTGAGAAAAGCCGCTCCGCGTCTCTCTGGGCTGCTGGGGGGGGGGCGCTAGCTTCACGTCTCCCTGGT